GCACACCATTTCTGGAGGTTACGGGGCAGATGTCAACCGAAATTTCTCTAGCTATGAGAATTAGACGACGAGGCAGTTATGACGTGTGTCGGCCGTCGCCGGGAGATGGGCGTGTACGCTCGTCGTCTCTCCTCTCCTGCAAAGCCATCTCTCGTAAGGAGAAGACACGTGAAGTGATTTCAGCCACGAGAGGCTAAGATTGAATGAGAACACCTTGAGGATTCACTATTTGTCCCTTATTTTGTGTCAGTGGCGACTGGAGGGTGAATTTCAAGGTCAACAGGATTCAAAACTGAAACAAGGGGAAAGGTGGACGGCTTCAATAACAGGAATGATAGCTAGTTACGAAAACTACGCAAAGTGATAGGTAGGTAGTTCTTGACATGCGCTCTGAGACGACAATTTACTAGACTAAGCATTAGTCAGGAGCAGATCATTCGTATAGTGGCTAGTATGCACTCCATTGTCTCTGCAAACCTGAATGAAATGGGAGTGCTATAGAAAGGATAACAACTGACTCCTACAGACCGTGTAATCTCGCACTCCTCGCCCGAAAGTGCTGTGCTTTCCGGGATCGGAAAAGATAGCCTGATAAATCATCTACATGCTGCAAGTGTCTCGACAGTCCCTACTTGCAACATCCATGTAGTTCGACAGTTCATACAAGGAATATTCAGAGGGTGTTTCGGAAGCTTTTACAAGCTAAATCTAAGGGCAGACAGTCCCTCTTGGATACGGTATGAATCATATATCCGCACTACTGTGCCGCAACTTATACTGGTTATAAAAGTTCTCTGATAAATGCAGTGTGATGAATCGCATGGCAGAACAAAACTCTTGGTCAATAGATCACCACCCCCTTTCATTCCCTCCCAGCTTCTGAACGAGAGAACAAATGCGCTGCATTCCCGTTGCTTTTGGATCTGTAAACGGTTAAAGATGAATCGCATGGTGATTCCCACAATTGTTTTCCAACAAACACCAATTCCACTTCAAGAGAACAGAATAATACTTGAAGTAAGAAGCGAGAAGGAATGTGTTCCTTCTTATAGTTAAGATCTTCTTGATTTCCTATTTTTTTAACGAATGATTAGCATCGGAGAGTGACCTAACACGAGCAAAGCACGCAACAATCACGTGAACTGGTGATCGTCGGCAATCGGGATCGGTGGATGCCTTTCTGTCTACGCTCTAGCCTTTCTAAGCGGAGACGCAGCGTCGACGAGAGTGTGCGAGACGACCGACGACGCGACAAATTGCTGAGTCACCCATTGCCGCGGTTGACAAAAGCCCGTAGACCGTTAGCGAACCGCTGCTCGGCCTAGCTTCGATGGCACGGACTGCGAATGATGTAGTCCGGCGCATAGCAGACGCAGGGTTTCCAACGCTAATGAGTAAACTCACTGGAAAGACGAATTGAATGTATGATCGCACGACAAGCAGAAAGAAAGATGTCATGAAGACTTTCAGGAGGAGCGGGAAAAGTTCAAAGAGTACCATTTTATAACTACCTTCACAGATTTGTGCTAGTAAATAGGAATGGTAGATGAGGGATATTGAGAGCTCAAGAACCGTACAGCTGTGTTTAATCAGAGCATATATGACTGCCAGGAACTCACGCACCAACCAAGTCACTGATCATAAAGGGTACACGTTTACTCTTGATTCACTCCGTCTATCCCAACTTCGCTCGAAAAATTCACGCAAGCTTGCACCTTTCTGAGTAAAAAGAATTTCTGAACATCAAAGACTATGTGGGAGAAAAAGAGTCGAAATGCATAACAAACAATGAGAAAAAATACGCCCCCCTTTTGAGAGCATGTCACATCATCGACAATAATTTATCTTCTCGAAAATGCCACGTTTTGATTGGCCGTTAACTCGGGAAAACTCTTCGGCACATGCACAGAAATGAAACGCACGCCGCTTCGTTAGATTTATCCGTTCTTCGACAGAGAAGTTCCGCAGTAACTCTGCTTGCCAAACACCCCTATCGCAACGTCTCTCGATGCATATCGATTCCGTTCTCGTGTCGTTGCCAGGAAGAATAGGAATCTGTGATAAAATTTTCGAAGGGTTTATATTCGTGCCATAAACTTGGAAACAAGAAAGGCCCGTAACCGAAGAAGTGCCTATAAGGCCAACTTGTGATGCACGATTAGGGAGAAGATAGAGAGGCGAGTAGAGTGAACGCGAGAATTCGTGCAAATCGTCCCCCCCCCCTTCAAGTCGCTTCCCATCTGATCCGCTTTTCGCAGACACTTTTCTTCGGGCGGACTGTCGGAGGTGGGCGTATTTTACCTTTCCACATTCTTCCAAATAAGCTATCCTCTCCAAGCCGATCCTCAATAGTCGCCTAATATGGTCTGGCCAGATTCTGGTAAGTTATCTGGTCAAGTTAAGCAGTTATTAGCAGCATTAGGCTTTCGCCGCGCATCACGAACACTGACGTGAATGTCAAAGCTTGCAAGCGTGCTTCGCTGCAAGGATGCTAGGGCGTATCATGGACAGGCTGAGCTAGGCGTGGCAGCCAGTTTCGTTCTCGAATAAATTGTTGATGGCGGGCATGCGGCAAAATTGTCGAAAACGGGCGCGGCTTTCGCGCCAAATTCATCTCTCTTTTACTTATTCTCCCGACATCCGAGCGAAAAGACTGTTTCTTCTAGTTATGAATGACTAATCTGTAAAGGGCCAGGCGTCTGTGTTACGAGATTCTTCCACTTACATGTGCCGCAGGTATTCCACAGGCCCTTACTCTCATGGAATTCCAAAACTCTGACATTTTCCATTCAGAAATCTATTTACAGAATAATCCAAATGCAGGTGATTCAAGTTCAGTTCAGTGTAAGCGATTTGGGGATAAGGGTAAACTTTATTCGGATGACTCACCCCTCTCAACGAAGAGATATACACCCCAGGCGCGTAATGGGACCTAAAGCATACCCAAGCCATTCGGAAAAAAGAATGCACAGACACAAGCAAGGTTATAAATGTGGGCCCTATCGTAGGCAATCTACTAACAGAATAGAGCAAGATCCACGTTGTGAATACTATTACTACACAAAACTGTGAAAGAAACTACTGACCTTTGCACATGGAGTAGCTATGTGATCAGATGCAGTCATAAGAATCTCGCGCAGACGTGGAATACCCAAGGTTACGTTCATTTCTCCTCTACCGGCGAAATGGAATGTATTCAAAGTCATTTGTGTTGACGGTTCTCCAATCGACTGCGCAGCCAACAATCCAACATTTTCACCAGGTTCAGCCAGAGAACGCATACCTTGAAATCACAAAACCATAAATAAGGGCTGACAACATTCTATCGAAAGCATCAAGATTTGCTGTGGCACATACCTTTCCAGAAAAGTGATCGCCGAAGTTTATCATTTTTGCCGGAAAATTTGTGAATAGAATCTAGCGTTTTCTCTGGTAGTGCACCGAGGGTACTGTTTACATTGAACTCCTAAAAAGCTCCGTAAAGGCTGAAATCTCAATCGAATCCACTAGTTTTTATATATTACCTCATCAACTGCATGAGGGCATTTTCTTGGAGCTCTTTTCTCGTACACCTCTCTTTCAGCTTGATCCATTTCTGCCCACATGCCAACAATTCGTTCCTTATCAACACCAACTTGGTCTGCGGAAAACTCCGTGAAGCCAGATATGTACACCTTTTTGGCTCGATTACCGCTTTTGTCGGACTTCTTTCGCCATTTTTCAATCTAAAAAGCAAAAAGATGTTAGAAACAATTGAGAAGAGAGTCGAAGAACTTGAACCGAAACTCTATTTACCTTACGGTATTGTTTTTCAGCAGCTTCGACATTGTAATCATAGTCTCGAGCTTCTTCTGGTTTCGAACATTGTATAACAGCATCCAGATTGTCTTTTAAGAACGGGAACGTCTTAGGGTTTATGTAAGTTGACTTCATAACGTCGAGACCATCTTCTCCATATCGGAACTAAAACTAGTGAATAATGAAATGGAGAAGAGCAGCGTAATGCATCAGAAAGGCAAGGCTGCGTTCATAATTTTCGTCAGCGTTTTTAGCGTATATGCCTAGCGTTTAGGGCATTCCGCAGGCAGTCTAGTCGCTCAAGACTACTGCCTACGTTGTCATACGCGGAAAACGCTACAGTAGGTCCAGAATGCTGACGCAATGTACAGGGGAGGGGGCAAAAAAGACTTTCATTTCCTCGACTTTCGATGGGCGCTCTAATTGACACTTATTTCTTATCGGACATTTCTACCACCATTTTTAAAGAGCATATTAAATACTATCACGATACTCCGCCACAGCCTTCTGGACGAGCGCCATCAAGAGATTCTGGCCACAACCCCGTCAGTGGGTGCGTGAGTTCAACGAGATCGTTGATTTCTCCACCACTGTAGACCACCCTATTGAACTCCGCCCGAACCGGGTAATTGAGGGGATTCAGGTCAGGTGACCTACTTGGATATTCCATCTTCTTTAGGTACTCAGCCCCCTTCCATTCCAAGTAGGCGAGAGTTTCTCCAACGCCCTTCGATTCCATGTGGTGGCACCCAATGCTGTAGCAGTACAAAGTTTCCAAGAAGGTACGGGCGACGACATGTGGAGAGGATATTCTTCTCGAGTTGCTCGATGTAACCGCCAGCGCTCACCTTTAGTCCGGGGCCCACGAAGAAAATATCGGTCTCTCCATTCCAGGTGTCCGGTCCCCACCATCAACTGGCGCCTTGGCGACTGAGGTGAAGATGATGTCCTAGACCGTAGCGACGTTGACGGAGCTGCTCGATGATGGAGGTCTTCCAGATCGAGAGTACTGCTCTCCAGTAGCTATTTATGGGTGACTCCATACTAGAAGTTTCGCAGCTGTTCGGAGGTGACATGAATTCCGAAGGTCTTCTCCAGTCAGGTTGCGGCTGGAGATGACTTCATATTTTGGTGTACATGAAGGTGATGGGCGAGCGCCAGCTCCTGCTTATAGAGGAACATCTTGGGTATCTTCCGCCCTGGTACTCGTATCCACGTCCTCTGTCTGGGCTGCGAAAACTTTGCTGATATGTGACCGGTCGAATGTCCCCTTTTTGGCCTCCCTGTACAAAGCAGCCTAAACCTCTTGCTCAGTCAGACCTCTCCGCTCCCTGAATATTACAAAAACGGCACCTGCACGACCGAGCCATCGTGATCTCTGACGGTCCCGTCATAATGGATCCTCAAGCCCTCCAAGTGCTTTATCAAACATCTTTGTAAATATCCCGAGCGAGAAGTTTTAACAGCAGTATCAATCAGACCCTGAACAAAGATGAAAATGAAATCGACGAGCTGAATACTAGTTGCAGTTACGCATTCCTGTCTACATCGCGAACAGTTCAAATCCAACTGGACGAACAACTAAAAGAAGAGAAGAAATAAGCTTTTGAAAAATGTTAACCTCTCTTCCGGCCATGGTGTGGAAGAATAGCTCCTGAGGATTTATCCCCGTTAGGAAACCGTTGATCGATGTATCCGCCAGCACGAGGTGATGGATCGAATGCTCTGAAAGCGTGTAGAGCATAAAGTGCTATGATTTTCTGAATAAAAATTTTGAGATAAAGACCTGAATGAGGGCAAAGTTCTTCCAGCAACAGTAACGGCCATACGCTTACCCTCCAGCTCGATTTGACCAAGACAGCATGAAATCTGGAAAGAGAAATACTTTGAAATTTCTATTACATGCTGAAAACAAAAAACGCAGGGTTGAACTATGATGTAGCATCCACGGACGAACGGATAAAAAAAAAAATCAAGGTTTTCAGCCGTTAGTCTACCCTTTTTGAGGGGGGGGGGCACGCCTTCTTACTCCACTCAGAAACGCAGTGGCTTATTGAATGCAATGCTGTTTCGTTACTTGTGGGGCCAACCGAGTACATGTCAGTGTTCTTATCCTCACAGACGAATTGGGGCAGGAGGCTATCGGGGGGTCGACCGTAATACTGAATTGGCTCCTAGTAGCTTGCGAGTGGTAAGCGTCGTTTTATCAAACATCACCTCGGGTCAGAACTATCCTTTAGCGCGGGGGTACAAAAAAATTGAAAGCAAACAAAACATTTGTAGTATCGTATACGTAGCATTTCGAAGTAGTGTAATCCAATAGCTCGTTAAGAAGTTTCAGTAGAAACCAAAAAGAAGGGATGCGATATCGAAGTTTCTGTCATAACCGTTGAGGCACGTTTCACGTCCCTTGTGTGGGCAACCGAACCTATACTGTAACTTGTCGGCTGAAAATCCCTGTTTTATTTTATGTGAAGTGTTTTCGTCTCCACGCGGCACGCTTTAAAGGCCAGACTGACTGTTGGTCTGAGTCAGTCTTACACTTTCCTCATTGTTGGTGTGTGTGTGTGTGTGTGTGTGTGTGTGTGTGTGTGTGTGTGTGTGTGTGTGTGTGTGTGTGTGTGTGTGTGTGTGTGTGTGTGTGTGTGTGTGTGTGCGTGTGTGTGTGTGTGTGTGTGTGTGTGTGTGTGTGTGTGTGTGTGTGTGTGTGTGTGTGTGTGTGTGTGTGTGTGTGTGTGTGTGTGTGTGTGTGTGTGTGTGTGTGTGTGTGTGTGTGTGTGTGTGTGTGTGTGTGTGTGTGTGTATGTGTGTGTGTGTGTGTTGTGTGTGTGTGTGTGTGTGTGCGTGTGTGTGGTGTGTGTATGTGTGAACCCTTTCTGACGGCGACAAGGAAAAGTAGGGGGGAATGCGCGCCAATGAGAAAGGTACAACATAGGCCCTGCTCTTTCCATACAATGAGCTCGGGAAGTATCATCGATGCTTGTTTTTGTAACAGACACACTGAAGACAGTGAAATACCTGTATAGCATTGACGGCTGATCCCTTAGCGCCAGACTGAATCATAACTTGCAGCGCGTTCTCGGGGAACTGCCGAATCAAACCATCCGGTACACATGCTCTTAAACGAAATAAGATGCAGCATAGCCAAATAGGTGATGCATGAAACAAGGCCAGAACAAGAGCAAATGCAAATCGTACTTTGTTATAGCGTCGTTATATTTCGCAATAGCTTGTTTCATAGCGTAATCAAGCATTTTCACATCTTGTCCTTGCCCTCTTGGATTACAGTATGTCGATGCCAAAATACGATCAATCTCTTCATGTGAAACATTCTCGTCGAGACCGAAAGCGTTACGTACAACCTATAAAAATAAGATTATTAGAGATGTCAGACAAAAGATATTCGAAGGCAGAACATCCAATGAGACCAGTAGAAAGATGAGTTTCAAGTGAGGCAGCTTTTCATCCACTCCTTCAGGAAGTAAGTCTAGAGTATGGGAACAGAAATATCAAAAGAAACTCCAAATTTGAAGTTTTTTTTACCTCTAATTTGATTACTTTCCTATGGTACTAATAACACAACTAATTCAAGATATCTGAGGAAGAATATAAGATTACTCACTTGATCTCCAATAGTTCTTGACTCCCTGATGGCTTGTTTCCTAAGTTTATCTGCATCCTTTCTAACGAGGATATCCGCAACACCAAGTGTGAACCCGTGTATCTGAAGAGACTGTATTAGACTGTCGAAATCTCGCGATTTCATCATATCGCCATGGTTAAAAGCAAATGAAATTTGCGCAAAGCGAAGATCGCTATCGAGCTTGAAACATTTTGTAAAACCAAAACGGATATCTGCTCACCTGCAAATAGGTCGTGAAGAGACGAGAAAAACAGGACAGAATCTGTACTCCTACTCTATGCCCGTACAGCTCGAAGCAGCTGTGAACCAATCCGTACTGCGTAGCGCCATAATGTTGTTTATCCAAAACGCCCACCAACAGTTCACCTTGCCTGAAAATCTTTGCTATCGTTCAATGATTTTTTTTCTGTGAGGGGCAGCTATCGACTAATGGCAAAGAACGTATTTGTTCAGGGCGTTTCTTCACTGCTGGGAAGGAAGGCGCCGACAGGGCCGGTGAGTCAGGATCTCAATTCGGCAAAGCGCCTTTACTAACAGTACTAACACTGGCGTGAGTTAGTCCTGAAGGAGCATGGTATCTTGGCTCTCTTCTTCAAAAGGCCCTTCTGTGCATATTGTTTATGTTAATCCTGTACTGCTTGTCCCATTTTCCTATGATGATCAATGATTGTTTTTTCCGCATTCAAAAGTAAAGGGTGTAAGACTGGTCCCACGTTATTTGTTCAAAATTACTGATCCAATTTTGGGCTTTTCGGAACTTGTGAATACGCGGTCTTCGAGACTCATTTGTATGTCGGTAATGCAACTCCGGAATTGTCGCACCGCGCCGCCGCGACGCGATGTGCGCGACGTGACCTGACTTGCCGACGATAGAATCGCCCGGGTCCCGCTTATGCCAGTGGTTATAACTGTGAGTGAAGGAATTCTGACACATTAAGGTCCTGTCCACTCTGACGCATTAAGGTCGTGTCTAACCACTGTCTAACCACAAGCACCCTCAAAAAAGCCCTGTCTAACCAAAACGGCTTTATAACAAAGGGCCCTCAAAAAGGCACTAACTTGAGGTGAACGTGAACCTCTCCTCTGCGCTCTAGGGGACCCAAAGGAGGAAATGATTCCACAGATAGCGCAAAAAGCAGAGTAGAAAAGTAGAAAATTACTGAGCAGTACCTCGTTTTGGGAACGAAAGCGTGACCGCGCGATACTACATACTGAGGTTTTCGTGAAAAAAAACAAAACCTTGAACAAATTATGAGCCCAAGATCTCTCACCGGAAAACCACTTCTGATTCGCTCATATTATGTTGTGGAGTGTCAAAACCACGCACTTTCCAGCACGACAAAGGTGTCTTTGATTTCGAGGTGAGGTTGATGAGCGGTTTGCCCTTCGGGATGCAATTCTTGACAATGCACGAAATAACCTAGAAACATTCAATGAATCTACACAGTATGTTGACCAGATTCCAATTCATCTTTACTACACCGTAAGAAATCCACTGATCGCTCTAGAAAAAGTCACCTGTTTTCCACTCCACATTTGGCGCGGCTTTATCATCGCTGGGGGAGGGATCTCAATACGTTTCGTGTGCTCCGCAAATGCCGACAATACGAGCTGCATGAAGTCTTCCTGGCAAGTTGGAGAACTCATGAGAGAGTTGAAAGTATGCTAACTTATAATGATTCATCTAAAAAATACCTTGGTCAAGAACCGTCCTCTAATCGTCAGTAGTACACCAGACACAACATGATCCTGGATCAATCCCAGAAGGGGTGTGGCATCCTTGGGAACTAAGGAAATTGCTTCCAACATTGGCTGCAACAAATAAAGATTTTTTCGGAACTTGTAGGTCTAAACGAAGATTGCCAACCTAATTCCGCGACCTCACACTGCGCTATATGGCTCTGCACCAAATGTCCATTCATCTCATCACCATCAAAATCAGCATTATAGGGCT